CGGTAGGTTCAAGTCTATAGAATTTCCGGTAAAGGAAATTTGGGCTTTAAGCTTGTGCAACAGATCTCTCCCCAGAAGGGAATATGGGCAATCAGGTATGAGCACAAAGGAATGAGTAATAGTCCCTTCAGCTAGGTCAGTGATTCGGGCACGAGTCTGCAGGTAGCCTTGCGCTTGTCCTGTGGCTCCCGGAATGTATACCTTTTCTTTAATCACAGGTCCTAAGGGTTCTTTAAGACCCAGTGTCAACCAGGAATCTGGTTTCTTTCCCTTCTATGTTGAGGGTAACCACAGGCTCCTGGGGATTCAGGGAAAGAGGGGAGCTGTGGTGGTGTCATTGTTCCTGGGCGACCAGGATGGGAGGCTTTTTGTTGGGGCATTCATCTTTCCAATGTCCTTCTTTCTTACGATAAGCACATGGATTTTTTTTCCAATGTTGCTCAGGGTCTTTTCTGGCCTCGGGGTTGAGGCCTTCCCTGTCCTTTGCTGTTGCCCGGGGGTTTTCCCCAGGCGCTACGAGGACTTTCCCTATTTCCTTCCCTTGCATAACGGCAGAGCTGTCCCTGCTCTGAAAAACTTGCTGGGCTATTTCTACCAACTCTGAAATTAGCTTTCCTTCGAATCCTTCTAATTTTTGGAGCTTTTTATGGAGGTCTGGGGCCGACTGAGAAACGAAAGCCATGTTAATGGTTTTTTGGTTCTCTATTGCCTCGGGGTCAATAGGAGAGTATAAGTGGTAAGCCTGGTAAAGCCTTTCTAGGACATTCATTCGGTCCCTGGACCGTGTCATGAATTTTTGTCAGATCGGTGGGCTTTCGTGCCACTGCACGAAGCCCCTGTAACAGAATCTGGCGATACTGGAGTAGACGCTCCCTACCGTTACCCGCGTTAGGGTCCCACTGGGGCGGCGCGGAATGGAAAACGTGCTCTATTCTGTGAAGATCTGTGGTAGGCATTCCATCTGGGCCAAGGACTGCTCTCGTGGCTTCCCGGGGCACTCGGGCCCTTTCCTTGAAGTCAGTTAAGACCTGCAAGAGTTGGTGACAATCTTCCCAAGTAGGTAAGTGGGTGGTGAAAATAGAGCTCAATAAGTCAATTAGGCCCTGGGGGTTTTCAGAGAAAACTGAGTTTTCCAGTTGTAGAGGTCCGTGGTGGAGAAAGGAGTGTAGACAACCATCGGGCGTGTTGACCGCCGTCTGGACCGGGAGCCAGAGCCGTTTGCCTAAGAGGAAGGATGGGAACTGGGGCATCAGAGGACTGGTGTTCTCCTCTACAGAGGGCTCCTGATCTGGTATGTGGGGGACTAGTCAAAGGGTCTCCTGCGGCTTTGGGTTCCTGGGGAGCTAGTGGAGTCTGGGGAGAAGGAGGTGGTCTCTGAGGATCGGATAACAAGTCCCTTCCTTCGGGTTATCTCCTGAAGCACTGGGTAAAGCCTCTTTGAAGGCTGAGTGATGGGAAGCAAGGGTTTGGAGTTTGGAGGAGAAGAGGAAGGGGAGTGGGAAAGGGAGATGCCAGATGAGAGCTTTTGGCCCTGTTTC